ATAACGACACATTGATAGTACTTTCAAAATGTTATGGAAAATAATTTTATAACATTTACAAAATGCAATTAATACATATCTACATCACTTTTAAAACTTTGGTAGCACTTTCAACATGTTATTAAAAACTCTTCTATAGCATTTTAACAATGTTAAGAAAAACCAATCTACAACATTGTAAAAATGTTATAAATTTTAATAATGTTATACAAAAAACTAAACTATAACAAGTTAAGAATGTTACGAAAAACCTATTTATAGCATTTATGTAGTATAACCTAAAATCATTCATAACTACGAATAAATGTTATAATATATTAACAATAGCATTTTATTACACTTATTGAAAGTTCATTTATAACTTTCAATAAGTGCAACAAAATAATTAGTAATGACATGTAGAAAGTGTATCCAAAGTCTAATTTTTTTAGTAACATGGGCCGTAATAGCATACTCATTAATGCTACCATTTATCTTTGGTAACACTTTTTGCATGTTATCATAGGCCATTTTTGTTGAAGTGGGCAAAGGGGTTACAGTTGTGTTGGACAAGATTTGTGGTGGTGTGGGTTGGTGGGTAGATGTGATGGAGGAAGAACTGGAATGGGGACGTGAGGCAGAGGGTGAAGAGAGAAGGTGCAGCTAGGATGAGCATTGAAAGTGTGGGATGTTGTGGGTAAGAAATGTACCAAGGGTGGGGAAAGGGTTTATTGGATCTTTAATGTTTAGGGATCATTTGGTTAGGGGCATTCCCCCATTACTCTAATAATGTCATTTTATATTATTGACATTACTATGTTTGATTGTCAAGTAGTAAGAGATTCTGGTAATCCTTCAATACCAATAGTAATTACTGTAAATTATATAGGTGGTAATCTAAATACTACCCATTTTCTCAGATATTCTAAGATTACTTGGTAATTTTAATTTTATTACAATTTTACCCCTAATTAATAAAAAATTTGGATAGTAATGCCTTTGCTTCAAGAACAATTTACAAGAATATTCATGGACTATTTTAACCTTATACATAAGATTTTTAAGACATTATTACCTTTGTATTTCCCACAAATTACATCCTCAAATTAATACCGCAGCCACCCACCACCACAACCGACCGCTGGCCACCAATACTGATGGCAAAATGACGCTCAAACATGAGGAAAGGTAGATCAGGTGCTAGGGAGTCCAAATAGGTAGCTGGGGAGCCCAAATGACATTGAAAAGTGAGCAAAATCCGGAGAAGAAGTTGAATGGTCGTCAGCGGAATACCAACAGTCACAGCCAATCTTTGACAGAATCAACATGGGAGAGCTCGGGTGAAGGTGGAGATGAAGCTATGGTGGTTGATCTACACTAGGGAAGGGCAAACAATCCTAGAAAATGGAGGAAACTGTAAGTAAACGATCCCGTATATGCAACGGAAACAAAACAAATATAATATAGAGATCGTTTACATGAGCCAAGATCAAGGATATGATTTTACAAATTCATATTAAATAAAATCTGCAAAAAAATAAATCTGAGTTTAAAGAAAACAAACGCACGTTGGAGGCTCCTCCAAATTTGTCAACGAATGTTTGCTACGATCCAAATGTAGGATCGAACCCACGTAGTCCACACGAAGACAATCTCAAAAGAACCAAAGAGGGATTTGCTAAATCCTCCTTGGCTTCAAGATTAAGAAAGAAGCAAATCAATAGAATTGATTTTGGCCAAAACCCAAATCTGGCATGGGAGGAGATGGGGCTGCTGGTGGTGTTTTAATTTCAAAGAAAAAATCAATTCATTTAATTAATTAACACACACTTTCCTTTTATAGTTAATTAAGTTGCCCTAATCCCTATGGAATAGACTTGGGCTCCAACCCAAACGCCCCATGTTGCCAAACACTCCCAATTTGATTTATTTTATTTCCATCATTATCTCAATTAAAATCAATAATATATATTAATATATATAACATTTAACAATAATGAAATATATTTAAATATGTGCGAAAACATTAAAGTATTCAGTTATTTAATTTTCTAACAAATTAAATAAAGGCTACGATCTCAGTAAATTTAATGTACTGTGAAATTACCAAAATACCCTTTCGCCTTAAAAGACGAAAACACCCCTTCTCTTCTTGGATCTTAAATTGTCTTCTAGTGTGTGACCATAGGTTCCTCATCATATCGGCAGTGTATAATATCGAATTAACACTAATTAATCATCACTAATACACAGACCAAGATTGGCCCCTAGCAAGGCATTATGGCATCCGATAGATTCAGATTCAGCAAAGTAGCTACCTATCAACGATAGGTACCATGCAATTCAATCCTTTCATCATACATTATCTCGACGAGACGAAGGCATAGAAATAGTGTCAACCTTCGGTTACTCTTGATATTATTTATTCAGTTTTTGGACCAATAACCTGTATTATAAACTGGATAGAGCAACAACTCAATCCCACTGTGGCCACAGTTTTAGTGTCATGCCATATACTGAATTGCGCCATGAGATAACTTTATCCCGTACCGGGAGTGATGAATCCTCTGTCAATCTACCATAGTCTTGATACACCTTAATGCAGCCAATCACCATCGTATTGACAGCTCTGAAAAGAAACTGCGTTAGGCTAGTGTCAAACTACACCAATCGGTGCACACAGGTGCTCCAGTGATCTCAAGTCTAAGGATGACATGCACCACCATTCGTTAGAGGATTTGTTCCATAGACAAGGTTATCATCCATTAGAATCCTCTGGTGAGCAGTCAGTGAACTTGCTTCGGTGTAATCGCCTATAGCAAGCACCCATGTGTTGCACCAGGTTGTCACCAAACAACCTTGACAAGTGAGATCAGTCACTGCCTTTCGACAGGGCTGTTCAATACTATGATAGCCTTACCGTATTATCTGGCCCTTACTTCAGAATAATACTGGGGCTACGGACGTTCTAGAAATGGCCACCATATATGCTCATAAGGTTCACTATCAAGATTTGAAACACTGATACTCTCGTCACGGTTCTACCATTCTAAGGACCTATATCAATACAATTGCAATAATAATTATTTACGCGATATAGAATAAAATGCTTTTTATGATTAATGAACATTATTACAAAGAGTCAATTCTACAATAATTGATTGTCTCGTGTACTTACTCCAACGAAACATTGTGGAAGAAAAATCGTTGTCGATGGTAGGGGAGATGAAGCGTCACTCCGTAAGGAGGATATGGAGAGGAAGGTCGGCATGGGTTGCTAGCAGATGCCAAAAGAGGTGAGGGTCGGCGGCCTGCTGTGGTCTGGGTGGCTAGGGGTATTTTGTAAATCTTAATTAAATTTTCATGTAGCTGGAGTGTTTTAGCTAAATTCTCAAATGTAAGGGGTTAAAAAAATAATCCAAATATTATTAATAGTAATAATGTTAAAAAAGAAGGGCAGTTCAGTAAAAGGCTTCTCCTATAATTCTTTTTCCTCCCAACCAACATATTTATTATTAATAACCACAATTTATTCTAATCTAACCGACAATATTAATATAACATTCCCAGTAATAATCTTCAAGGTAATCTATCTTCTCATTAATATAACATTTTCAGTAATACAATTCCCTAAACCAAATGCTCCTTAAAGTATTTTAACATTCATTTTATTATTGCTTAATTTTTTAATTTCATTATTGAATTAAAGAATTATAACTAAAAATTTCAAAGTTACTAATTGTATGGAAGGACAAAATGCCTTTACATCATTTCATGGAATGTAACAACTTTGGTCTGAGACTGATAGAGACTAAAGTGGCTTTTTATGATTTCAGTGGACTTAATTGATACTTTTGTCAAACGTCAGGGATGAAAATATCATCAACCTTTAAATGCCTTCATGATCGGGTACGGCTCTTTTTTGTTCCACCCAAATTTTTTGAAGAACTCTATAGGTACTTAGAACTATAATATAATTTTTTTTCTTTTGTTTGGAATTTCATAAATTTTAACTTATTTTAATTTATAATTGAGGTGATTTGACCATTTTAGTTTGGCACTTAGAACATCTCATTCCAATTTTTTTAGTGCACTTGTCACTTTCCAAATCCTTGGGTACATTTACAGTACTTTTCCGAAACCTTAAGGGGGTAATTTTATTTTCCGAATTTAAGGAAAATTATCAGTCATGAAAACGAAATACCATTAGTTCACACCAAAAGGAATTTAAGGAGAGGAAACTAAAAGCATTATGATTTATACTCAAGCTTCTCCTCGCATCTTACAAGGCTTATAATTCTAGTTAGTAAATACGAGTATGATAAAAAAATGATACCGGAATTTTACGAGTATGATACGGCAAATGGTGAAAAATAAGTTTGTAAAAATTCGGTCATAAAATTCGGATACGAGAAAAATACTGTACGGATATATACGGGTTTAATATGATACATTGTGAATAATACGTTTTTGAAAAATACAACAATATTAATCCTCATTTTAGCACTTTTTATAATCATTGAATTAATCTTTCTTTGTTTTTTCTTAGAGGTGTATGATTTATATCTTTTTTAATTATAATATTTTAGTTTATTAAAAAATATATAATTTGATTCATAATTAATTACTACAAATATTGTAGAAGTAGACCAATTACTAAACAAAACAGAAGAAGAGACGAAGAGGGCGCCAAAAAAGAGAAGAACAGAGGAAGAGGGCTTAGAAAAGAGATGAGGGCACCAAAACAGAGAAGGAGAAAGGATGAGGGCTCTAGAAGAGAGAAAAAGAGAGGAAGAGGGCCCCAAAAAGACTAAGTCTACCACAGCGTCGTTTTGGCTTATTAAATAATAAAATTTTCTTTTAAAAAATGCGGTTGAATTATATGGAAATTATACATGAATTATACGTAAATTATACGGTTGGGACATATAATTCGGTTGTGTTTATAAAATACAAGAATTTACGTTTTATATGCGAATTATACGTCTTATAATACATGCTAATATAGCAATATCAATTGCTAGGTTGGAAATAATGCGTATCATTTTAATCCAGAGCATGCTGCCTAATTATACATCCAAATACTGCAATAAATCCATGCATCCAACTGTGCGGATACAGGTACATGTTGTGCCTTGTAAAATTTGACTATTTACAGGCATCTATTGAGGTTGTTGTTGGTAGTTGAAAACTGTTGCAGCATCCTTATATCCATGCCCACTACAATTAACTACAACTTTAGCACCGTTGGGTAAAGTTGGACAAAGTTTGTCTAGAAATGCCAATGCATGAGATGCCTCCAACGCTGGAAATATGCCTTCTAATCTACATAGCCGCTTGTAAGCTGTAATTGTACACAAGGAACCTAATTAAATTTACTCCGTCAACTAATAATATATCATTTCTTATATCAATTGTTATTTTTAATGACATGCATACCATCAACAGCTTCGTGGTCTGTGGCTGTGTAGAACTCTGCACGTCCTGAGTCTTTTAGAAAGCTTATCTCTGGTCCAACACCTGGATATTCTAGCCTGTACGTACATGATTTAATGTGTTTTTGCTTCAGAACAAAATTTACAAGTATCTTGCTAACTTTTTGACCATTAATAATTTTAGTACTATACAAAATATTTCGGTCAACAGAAAATTATTTTTCAAGACAATGAAAGCAATTTAGATGTGACTCAAGAGGCGAGCTTTAACACAAAATAATGTATTGATAAGTCAAATTTTATTTTATGCGCTAGAGGTCCCACCTAATTGTACGAGTAAATATGTACCACACAGGAGAGTAGAGGATAAGAGGACCACTAAAACAAGTTACACAATCTATTGTTCCTTGGTTTCGCAAAATAGAAAAACCAAATTCAAAACGTAATTGATGTATCCAACAATTTAATTTAAAATAAAATAAAATATTAAAAAAAAAAGTCATTTGGGAATTATTTCTTAAAACTCAATTATTAAACACAACATTGAAAACGTTATAACACCTTTTTTCTTTTTTTAAGATAATTTTGCGTATCTTATAAAGCTCAAACAATTAAACAGTTTACTACAACTCTAAAAATAAATAAATAAATAAGATACTAAATGCACAAACTCATTTTTACAATTTTTTCATATAAATTCATGTGTCATGAAATCAAAATGAATAAATAAATGCATTGAAAATCTAACGCATTGACATATAAATGGAAGAGTAGTATCACATGACATGAGTTTGTACATGTAGCACCGCAAAAAAATAAAAAAGTTATAATTTTTTTGCACCAACTTTCAAGTAAAATGTATGTCCAAGACACTATCAGCTACTTATTCTAGTCGGATCAGGATCCTCTTCTGATCTAAGCTTTTAAATGTTTGTGATTAGTAGTTACAAAATAGAAAAATACTAGAAATAAAATTTAACCATAAATAAATAAATAATGTGCGTGTCATGAGACTTTATAATTTCAGGTAAGCTTAGATCATGAGGATCCTAATCTTATTCAATTATTATTTTTTTTTTTTTTTAATTAATCAATTACAATAAGTTGATCCAATAATATCTTTTTTCTTAATTTGAATCCCATGTTTAAAGATGACATATATAGATATAAACTTACCCTACACCAATAGAATGTGCGCCTAAAATTTGTCCTTCTTCATCTTGCAACAAGTAGGTCATGGCTCTATGATACACACCCACTTCCCCTCTTGAGAGAGTTGCCGAATGCCTTCCACTATCCAACCCAAAACCAGCTGCTTCAACACCTATTAATCTCACTTCTTCATCTTTTATAAATTCATTAAATAAACCTAATGCATTTGATCCACTTCCCACACAGGCTATCAATACTTCTGGTTTTCCACCCCATTTCTCCATTGCTTGTCTTCTTGTTTCTTTCCCTATCACTGATTGAAATTCTCGAACCATGCTTGGACATGGATGAGGCCCTACCACTGTACCACACAAGTAATAGCTTCTTTCCAAGTCCCCTACCCAACCCCTTATTGCTTCTGAGCTTGCATCTTTAAAGCTTCCATTTACACCTTTAACCTACAATAAATGAATTATACATATCGAATTTGTAATTAATTAAAGAAAGTCTTTGGTATCACAGTGATCTACCTGAGCAACTTATAGATTTATTAGAAGAAACAAGTAATTAATTAAAAAAAGTCTACGGTACTACGGTGGTTTACCTGAGCGCCTAATAGATTCATTAAAAGGACGTTAGATTTAGAGGATTGTTTTTCCGTATCATCAGTACCCATGTAGACAGTGCATTCCAAACCAAGTTTGGCACATGCAGCAGCCGTTGCGACACCGTGCTGTCCGGCACCAGTGGCGGCAACCACACTTTTCCGGCCCATCCGTTTGGCTATCATCACTTGTGCAATTGCGTTGTTTATCTTGTGAGCACCCATATGGTTCAAATCCTCTCTTTTCAGATAAATCTCTGGCCCTTCTCCATTTTCATCCTTGTAGTGATTTGTGAGCCGCTCAGCGAAATATAGAGGTGTCTCTCGTCCAACATACTCTCTCAATGCCGTGGAAAGCTCCTCCTATATATACAAAATAAACAATTTTAAGAGAAATTAACAAATATAAATTTTATTTTGGTATAGTAATTGAAATATCTTAGGGCTTAAAGCTAAACAAATATGAATTTCTTTGTGTGCGCTCTTTGAAATTAGCAACAAACCTGAAACGCAGTATCTTGCAAAACAAAGTTGAATTCATTTTCAAGTTGCTTCAAACTAGTGATTAGTGTCTCAGGAACATACTTTCCTCCAAACCTCCCAAATTTTCCTGGAATAACTTTCCACACATCAGTTTCGAGTAAAGCCTTACTTAATGGCTTTTCCATGGAGAGAGGACTCCAAGTTTTATGAGTCACTGACGACCCACTGATCACCGAGGCTGCAGTGCAAATTCTAGTCTTACTTGTAAAAGGCCTAATTGATATTTTGCGTTGAAGGAAGAGAGTTTGGATATTATTGCAAGCTATGTGACTGTGGGCTCCCAGCATTATGCAATGAATATTTTAATATGATGTAAACGTGTGGTCGTTAATCTGTGATATCATATGATTACTGGTAGTGGCTATTTATACTTAAAAAAATAATAATAATGGTGACTTGTATGTTTCAATCAGTAGCGTTTACAATGAAATAAACGAGTTTCGTGAGTATAATATCTCTGTCGTATTTCGCTTGCTTTTCACGACATAATTAAGCTGACAAATAAACCGACCACGTGATTTGACACACAAAATTAGAGAGTAGATATTGTCACGCTCTTGCTGTTTTATTTTTTTATTATTATTATTATTATAGGAACAAAATCACAAACCTAACAAATTGAGAACTTAATTTCTTTCTGTTTGTCTATCTTAAGCATGTGAAGTATATGAAATAAGAGAAGAAGAGCAAACAAAGGAACACAAAGATAAAGACATCCTATCAGAGGACATGCCTTAGGATAGGATCCAAAAAAAAAAAAAAAAATCTAAACAAGACTAAGACAATTATACACAACATCATTCCTATCTCGGGACAAACCTTGGGTTACGAATACCCATATTTATTATATGATGGTTTTGAAGATAATCATAGGTAATTCCCAAATCTCCGTAGTTCTTCTATTGGCCATGGAAGATTTCATTTTGTTGAGGTCTATAGCCTTATCTCTCACCATGATCTGAATGTGGTAGTGAATTATCCAAGCATCCATAAAATCCCCTTTAATAAATCTGTTGTTCCTCTCCCTCCATATGAAATAGACCGTAGCACCCAAGCATAATTTATCGTATGACATACTTGAGTTTGCTCCTCTTCCAATTCATGAACAAGAAATTAACATAGTCATGCCAAGGCATCTCCCTATAACCAAGAGAAGAGAAAGAACACGGCACCAAATGGACTTTAAGAACACGGCACCAAATGGACTATGTGAAAGCACTTGCGAAGAAATGATGGTGAACTGATATTGTGATAATAAAAAAACAATTATTTTACTTATTTTACATTTGTCAAAAGGTTGTTTGAAAACACAATGAACATGATTGTGCAATTTAGGCCACTGTTAAATTGGTGGATCCCACTACCCTTCTAGAAACCAAATGGATCGATGTGAAAGGCATTTGGTATAGAGTAAACGACATGTTCCCACCAAAGGATTTGCAAATCTACAGTTTCACCCCTAGTTTCATAAATTCTAGATTCTCACCCTTAAATCAACACTGTCAGTCATATTTTGTTTCAAACACAGTATACAACTGGGGTCTTCTTAGAGAAAGAATTTATTTTAAGAGTCACTAGTGAGAGGAAAGTAGAACTCAATGAAGTTCTAGTTTCACAAGATGCATTAAACGAGGGACGAAATGATCTGTCACACGAAGTAGTTGAACACCATGAAGAGGTTACTCAAAAATCTGTAGATCAAAGTGAACTGCCTTAAGTTGTGCAAGAGCTATGCAAGTTTGGGAGAGAATGTCGAGAGCCTAAGAGATATGGTTTTTCATGCCTTGGCACGACAACGTACTGTTCTATCAAGACGATGAACCCAAAACCTATGATGCCATTGTATCAGATCCAGATTCTGCTAAATGGCCAGAGACCATGAAATTTGAGATGGACTCCATGTACTTGAACCAAGTATATACTCTAGTGGATCCACCTGAAGGGGTAAAACCTATAAGCTGTAAATGTGTCTTCAACAAGAAGATTGACATAAATGGTAACATGCATACTTATAAAGCACGGCTAGTTGTCGAAAGTTTCAAACAAGTTCATGGCATTGACTATGATGAAATATTTTTTTCCAATTGCAATGCTAAAGTCTATCTAGATTATGCTTGAGATTGCTGTATATCATGATTATGAAATTTGGTAGATGGATGAAAAAACAACTTTCCTGAGCGGAATCCTTGAAGAGGATGTGTATATGACACGACTCGATGGTTTTGTTCTTGATGGACAAGCTAAGTAGAGACCAATTTATTGAGTCAAGCAAGCTTCTAAGAGTTGGAAAATTCGTTTTGATGAAGTTGTAAAAGAATTCGGTTTCATCAAATATGAAGATGAGCCTTATGTTTACAAGAAAGTAAGTAGGAGCACAGTAGTATTCCTAATATTGTATGTCGATGACATAACTCGGATCGGGAATGATATACCGAACTTGTAGTTGGTATAGACTTGGTTGTCCGATTGCTTCTCCGTGAAAGCCTTATGAGAAGAAGCCTACATCCTCGGTATAAAGATCTATCGAGATAGATCACGTAGGCTATTGGATCTAAGTTAGAGTATATTCATAGACAAAGTGGTAAAAATATTTAGCATGGAAGAATCCAAGAAAGGATTTCTTCCTATGTCACATGGCATATATCTCTCTAAAGAGATGTGTCCAAGGACACATGAAGAGAGAGATAAGATGAAGAAAATTTCATATGTGTCAGCAATTAGATCTATCATGTATATCATGTTGTGTACTCGGGTTGATATCTTATGTGCTTTGACCATTTGTAGTAGATATCAATCGGATCCAAGTGAGCATCACTAGATAGGAGTCAAGAATATCCTTAAGTACTCGAAAAGGATTAAAGATATGTTCTTAACCTTAGAAGTGAAATATTCGGCCTCATTGTGTCAAGAATAAGAATAAGGAGGATATCCTTAAGTACTTAAAAAGAATAAAAAAATCAATTGAATATTGTCAAATGTCACTATTAAATCGAATATGAAAATGGATGAGCTTATCGATAGCTTATTGACATTTGAGATGAAGAGAAAGCCAAAAGATAAAGAGGGAAAACCAATGAGGGAAATTGCCCTCAAGAAAATAAATGAAGAAGAGGAAGGCAAAAAACATCAATTGAAATATCCTTAGTCATTTACATCCTTTCAGCATATGGCACGCGCATCATTTTTTTTTTTAAGCCTCATCATGTCTTATGCATTTAATTGAGTGTTTATTTCTATGCTTAATGTTTTTGGACACTTGATCAACATTCAATTGATGTGTTGTTCATGATGAGCTGAGAAGTGATTTGTGATATGTGCCTCTTGGGATAAACACCATAGATTGAGCGAAAACTAGAGATATATAAATACGATTTATGAAATCTAAATAGAATTCCACAAACCTTAAGAGGCCTGTAACTATTATACTTCAATTTTTGGTTTGGAAGGTTAATAGGAATGGGTGGGCTGATATAACCTGAGAAGGAGTATCAAACAACTTAGGGAATGTTAGAGTAGGTGCCTTAGAGCCAGTCAATTATTATGGAATTGACTCTTTGTAATAATGTTCATCGATCAATAAAAGGCATTTCATTCTATATCATGTAAATCATATTGATATGTATTGATATATGTCCTTAGAATGGTAGAACCGTGACGAAGGTATCAAGTGTTTCAAATCTTGATAGTGAGAACCCTATGATCACATACGGTGACCATTCTAGAAATGTTCATAGCCCCACCTACTATTATTTTGACCAAAGACAGATAATACGGTAAGGCTATCATAGTGTTGAATGACCTTGTCGAAAGACAGTGACTGATCTCATTTGTCAATGTTGTTTGCTAACAACCTGGTACAACACATGGGTGCTTGCTGTAAGCAAGTTCACTAGACTAACCCACCAGAGGATTCCATATAGATGGTAACCCCAATGTCTATGGAACAAATCCTTTAACAAATGTGGTGCATGTGATCCTTATACTGGAGATCACTGGAGTGCCTTGTGCCTCGATTGGTGTAGTTTGACACTAGCCTAACATAGTTCTATTTAGAGCTATCAATATAGTAGTGATTGGCTGCATCGAGAAGTGTATCAAGATTATGGTGGATAGACAAAGGATTCATCACTACCGAGTACGGGAGAAGTTATCTCACTGTGTAATTTAGTAAATGGCAATGACACTAAAACTATGGCCATAGTGGGATTGAGTTATTGTTCAATCCAATTTATTATTCCAATCATTAGTCTAGTAACTGAATACAAACACATCGAGAATAATTAAGGTTAACATTATTTCTGTACCTCAATCTCGATGAGATAACAAATGATGAAAAGATAATTTATTTCACTAAATCCGAATCTATTAGGTGGCCATGATGCCTTGCTAGGGGCCAATCTTGGTTTGTGTGTAGTGAGACAATTATTTGGTATTAATCGCAATACTACTCACTGCCGGTATGATGAGGAGCCTATGGGTCACACACTTAGAAGATAATTTAAGAATCATTTTGTGCAAGGGGTATTTTCGTCTTTTAGGGAAAGGGTATTTTGGTAATCCCACAGTGTAATTAAATTTGCTGAGGTTGTTGCCTATATTTAATTTAATGTTAAAATTAAATCAGTGAGATTATATTTAAACATATATACACATATATTTAAATGAATTATTATTGTTAATTAAATGTTAATATATTTTGTAAATATATTAATTGATTTTAATTATAATAATAATTAATTAAAAATAAAATACAGTGTTTGGATACTAGGGAGGATTAGGTTTGGAGCCCATACCTATTCCTTATAGGAATAGGGTTTTGGCACACGCACTATATAAGTGCATGTGTGTTAAAGAAATTCATTCAATTTGATTGAATTCATTTTATTGAAAAAGAGGCAGCCCTCTCTCCATTCTCTCACATATCCCTTTGTGTGTGAATCAAAAATTTTCTTTGATTCAAGTTGTTTCTTGAAGCCATTAAGTGGATCTAGCAAATCCCTTCTTGGTTCTTCGGATTGTCTTCGTGTGAATCAACATTCGTTTGATTCTACGTTGAATCAGTAGTGAAGTAAATCTAGAGACATTTGAAGGAGCCTCCAAATGTGCGTAAGATCTCTAATCCTTGTTTGGATTGATGTTATCTTTGCTCTTTTTCAATTTAAGTGTAAAATATATACATATCATACCTTGATCTTGGGTTAATTAGAGTAATCGATGGGAAATAATTTTTTTTTTTTCACTGCTTCTACCCATTGATTTACTTACAAGGAATTCGATTTTCAATCAAGAAATTAGAGTTTTAGTAATAGAATCTGTAAATTGGGTT